TAAAAAACAATTTGAACAATTTATTATAGGTATGCCTACATTATTATACGTTACAGACGTTACGGTAAGAGTACGAATATCGAGAAACCCTAGGTTTAACCCGTGAAAAAAAAAATTACCAAGTACTGTTTCCTGCTGGTGAACGTCAGCATTTTTGGACTTTAACCGATTGATCTTGGTAAATTCTAAGATATTACAAATTAATTCAGTCAAACTGTGCACGATAAGATTTTAGATGTTGCTTTTACAAATGAAAAATAGTAAGCCTGAGAATAAACAATTCATCATTGTATTAGTCCGAATTACAAAAAAAATCTGTCCAAATCAATTTTGATGAAATTGAAATTAGTATTTTAAAACTTGTTCTACATATTATTTCATTTTTAACTGTTTTATAAATAAATATAGAAGTACTATTGAAAAAATAAATACTATTGACAACATTACATAACAATGTTTTAATATGAGATAAATTAAATGTTGTATAATTGATGAATAAGATACATTAAACTAGGTGTTTATTTTTTGTAAATGTCAAATGACGTGTTTTTTTAAATTCTGTTTTATGTAATTATCGATGGTCAAGCGCGTGTTATAGTAAATAAGATTGTATATTGCAATAATTTTCTATTTTTATTTTTTATTATGTTTAGATTTCATTTATAATTATGTTTATAATTACGTTTATAATTATGTTCATAATTAAATTATAATTATTTTAATAATTAAATTTATAAATATTTTAATAATTAAATTTATAAATATTTTCATAATTAAATTTATAATCATTTAAATAAATATGTAACTGAAAATGTAATTAAATTAATCATATTTTTAAACTTAACTAGGTTCACTACCAGAAAAAAAGTCAACCGTGAGTGTCATTAACTACTACACACTACTCAGTCCTTATATCAAAGTTAACCGTTAAAATATTATACATTTCTCATTATTTTAGTTCATTAACGTCGTAGTTAATATTAAATATTAATATGTATTTATATTATGATCCTTAGTTGTAAATCGTGAATTGCAATACAATTTGGAAAAATATATATATTCTATTAGTATACTAGTATTTAAGTCAATTTATAATAGTTGTATATCGTCATTAGTATGTATTCAAATAATAATATAATATATTGTATTAAATCATTCGTATTAATTATAAATGCACTTCAGTCAGAAACAATGTTCAAATACTAATTTCACAATGATGCATTCGTTTTGGATTTTTGTTTCTTAACAAAATGTCTACATCTGTATTTTGAACTTTAACCATAATAGATACCCATAGATTGTTTATCCTAAGATTTACCCATTTATCGTTTTTAAAATCCAGAGCAACAATATTATAATCATTTGTGCGGTTTGACTGAACTAAATTTTATACCTACCTCGACATTTACCAAGATCAATCGTTAAAAGCTGAAAACTCCAATTTTTCCGGTCGTTTAACTCATGTTTTCCTGGTACTCGTACTTTTGCCGGAACACATAATATTATATGTCATTACAACAATTGGCGATGGTCTTGTCTGGTTTTCCGTCCCGCGATAATGGGACATAAAAGTTTCTCGTCTTACACCGCAGACTCAGACGATTTCCGTGAAAAACGCGTTTTCTCGTTAATCTGAAGACAAAATCGACGCGATGTCCATTCGGCCACAGCCATCGTATATCACACTAGTTGATATTGTTATTTGCAGATTTCGTCTACAAAATGTGCAAAAGCGCGACTGTAGACGTTTTTCTCGCCGAGATCATATCTCGGTGTCGGTGCAATACTATACTGGAAAATTATATAGCCCGTTACTCGATGGTATTGCGTTGTCGAAACGGTCGTTTCAAAGTCTGAGCAGTATTATAATAATAATTTATATTATATACAGTATGCATTGTACCCGCCATAGATCGATTTTGTCGTTCGCGATCGTAATCATCGTAAAGTTTTATTTTATAGAAAATCGAGTCGTACTTAGTATACGTATAATTAATAATATAAATAATACGCCTAACTGTAGGTGAAATAAAACGCAGGACTTTTTTATTAGGTTTTAACGTGTCAGTCTGGAAACTAGCGGGTCAAGCCAGGATTTTTATTTAGGTGCCTGACCTATACCTTAATATGTCATATTAATCATATAGCAATTATGTCTAATTATGATTTAAGTTTTATATTATTTTATTTATTGGCTATCTAACACATTATAAAGTGAGAACATCATTTTATGTAGGTATTTCATTTATTTAATAATAATTCCAATCTTTATTTAATTTAAAATTACAAATTTATGACTTTTCAAACACTATTTTTAAAATAAATATATCTATACTAAAATTATCTTAATAAATATTAAGTTAAAAGTCTTGACATTTCTCTTGAAGCCTTAGCTATACTTAACCTATACTAACATTCTATATTCAGCTAAAAGTAAAATAAGCTCTATAAAATATCCGTGATTTTGAGTTCGATTCAATAACGAATGAGCACTTTTTTCTCTTCCTCTGTAAGAAATACTTTGTATAGTTCGTTCTAATAAATATGATTAAATCGATCAATCGTTTTAAAATTTCTTTGAGGGTTTCAACTTCTTTGGTGTGTTGAGACAAAACATTGCAATTTATAAATGTATATACGTCACTATTAGAAATCACGCATAACGGGGCTAAAGCAGCCTTTTTTCATGAGTTTTAAACTTCTCGTGTCTTGCAATGACTTTTATGTTTGTTTATACATGCTTAAATAACCTATAACGAATTTAGATTCTTGTCCACAAGTTATTGAAAAATGAAAAAGCCACGAAACTTTAGTAATAAATAGATCGTATTTCAAATCATGTGATTGGAAAAATACATGCATTTTTATTGTTGGTCTGACGCCATTCGGTTACTTATAATAATTTAGCTATTTTAACTCATTTTATTTTGTTCCCATAATATTTTATTATTATAATAATTTATTATTTATCAAAAAATAATGTATTTACTATTTTGGTTGAAAAAATAACAAAGGCCCGGGCAGTAATAGCACATTTTTAATGAAAAAATGTCAGATCTTCCCCATTTTTTGTTTGTATTTCTGAATTTATAATGAAAAGTATTGGGAATTTTTTACTGTTGCTCCTCCAAAGTAGTAATACAATTCTTTCTTACCAGAAAAAATGCTAAAATTGAAAATCAAATCCCTTTTTTTGCTGTAAGTGTCTTGAGACCCAACAAATATAAAAACATCATTGCAAAATTAATACATTCTTCACTCCACTGATAATTTAAAAAATGAAGACTAATAATAAATCTATTGAAATACAATTATTAAAATAAAAAATAAAGAGAACAATTTAATTTAATTTTTGTTTTTTTCTAGCGAAACACTATTTTCCATGAATGTAATAATTATATTTTTTTTAGTCTAAAATACGTGTGACAGTCTGAATACGGACTGTTCTGTTTCTGGAGAAATTGCAATATAAGTCGCCATTGGGATTATTTTTTTAGATTTAATAACCTCTAAAAACAGTATTAGCTTCCAAATTGGTTGGGGCCACAATCTAGATGAAACTTACTAATGTACTATGAGCAACCGAGCAAAATGTCATTTTTTCACTAGCTAAACCATTCGATTATGTTAACTTTTGAAAACTAGTGCAGCGTGTTTAATGCATGTAAACTAAAATATGAGTGCAAATGCACCAATCGCTACTTTTCTCTTTATCAAAAGCTCAAAGAAAAATGCTTCTTTTAATTGACAAAGTTTTACTGCAAATTTGAACGTCGTGTGCAGATATTGTTTTACTATTTCAAGATTTATCATAACTTTTAATGAGATATTTTATCGAATCGAAATAACGAACAAGTCTGGCAAACACTTTCCACGTTGTTTTTTGTCACGAGATAACAGTTAACTGAGTATTTTCAAAAACAAAAAATTTGAATGTATTCGTGTATATAGTTTTTTTTTTATTTCAATGTTTTACTATAATACCATTTTTGCAAAGGCGTGTGAAACGATTTTTACGCATCAAACTTTTTGGTTTGTATTTGTAACTGTTTATCAAAAGTGAAATTGTTTTCCGATTTGTTTCTAAAGTAAATAAAAGTTAAGGCGAACAAACAACGAGTAGCGCTTGTTATCCATAATATTAGTTGAACAGAGTAAATAATGGTTTTGTTAAACCCATAAAATATTTTCACCATTTAAAGATTAATGCTTGATGGGAATAAATATAATTTTTCCATTTTGTTTTTGGTGATAGTGGTAAAAAAACAATCGTTCACCCGATAACACATCGATGTATGTGTTTTCAAACAGCGATTTTAGACTTATAATATTAATTGTAAATTATTAATAATTATCAAATTAATATTATCATAATACAATAAAATTATGCAACATACCCAACATACCTGAGATCTCCTTCTCGACGCATTGGGCACCAAAGAAGATTCCCTTAAAACAATTTTATTATTTATGAAAGGTATTAAATTGTAAAATTTAGTTTAAGTAATTAATTCAATTCAATGGCCATGTTATTGAGACTTCAACTTTAATAAAATACAATTCTGTACATTTGATTTACCACCGATTTTTTAAATATATATGTTCAACTTAACAACATAATAACATTTTGATAAATTACGATATCACTTTAAACAAAATTAAAAACGTATTTATTTAGAAATATTATATTATATAATTTAAACTCGGTAAAATTACTGTTTTAGATGGCTATTTGAATATATTTTGAATTACGCTTGTAATTATTTAATGCCTACTTGTTATGCGACTTTTTAACAGATGATACGTACATATACATATTACGAAATACATAAATACATGCATGTATTATAGTCATTAAAGTTTCATGTGTATTAAAATATTTTATTTTTTCGTTAATTTAATTCGCGCGCAACGCTAACCCTCTGAATATTTTATTATGATACATGTATTTTTTTAATATTTATTATTATTATTATTATTATTATTTTTTTTTTTTTTAGGTGGGTTGCTGACGACAACTGGAGTCCCTGTAGCAAAACATGTGGAGGTGGAATAAGGGTACGACACGTTTATTGTGTGGAAGAAACAAATGGCACTAGAACAAAGGTAATGAGAATTGAATTAAAAATCAAATTAAACTGGTAATATAATTACGAATGGTTTCAATGCAGTGTTTTTTATTTTTTATTATTCCGCCTCGAAAGCTAAAGCAAGTTGCGAAAATCTCGTCGGTAATTAAACGCTTTCCGCAGTTTCTGAACAGACATGACGTATTATGTACATTGTACTCACATTGTAAAACACATATGCATAGTATTCAGTCCTGAATTGACGGGTGTATACGCAGTTATAAGTTTCCTAATAGAAAACTGCATTCGTCACAGGGTAGATTTTTCTGACTAAAATATGGACATTCGATAATCTGTAAAAACCTTGAATTAATACTTAAATAAGACTCTGAAATTGTTCAAATCGTATATAATCAAAGCGAGAATTTCTCTGCCAATTGATATTACGATTCAAGGAGATAAGTGCTTAATGTAATTGCTTATTGTTTATATTTTTTCTGGTATACCTATATTTAATTATACTTGCTACCTATTGAGTTTTTATTTGCGGACTGAGCTCTAAAAACAAAAACGGTTCATATAATCAGATTTAATTATTATGGTAATGTCAATAATAACAATTGTTTTTAAAAAAAGTATGGCGTACATTTTAAAACATTTCTGAAAAAAATAAAAAAAAATAGTGAATTTGAAAAGTGTTTCATATATACACCTCGAATTACCTTTGAATTAAGGAATATGAAAAGACATAAAAGAAAATAATCATAACATATGGTTTGTATATTACTAATAAATACTTTATAATAATATTATGTATAGTTATTATAACGCATCATATTTATTCATCTCTTTTGATATTTTTATCTTCTCGTTTTTACATTGATCTCACACAGACAAATCATTAATTTTTAATTTAATTTATTAGTTAATGCAAAGAATTCAAAAAATGTAATTATTAGGTTGATGATAAAAATGAAAAATTAGTAATCTATCAATAGTATCATTTTCATTTAAATGTGTAATTTTTTTAACGATATTTCAAATCTTTTAAGCTATTAGTTTTGTTTATATACAACATCCGTGACCTATTATACCTATCTGAACCGACTTACAAATGAAGATTTATGTACATATTATAATATCTGTTTTTACTTTTATATACCTCAGTGTTTTGAAAAGTTATTTGATTTGTTATATAGGTTTTGCGAACTTAGAAAGCTGTTTTGTATTAAACCTACCTATTATTTTAACTAAATAAACATTGGGCAGATGAAAATATAGCCTTACCCTAAGTAAAACTAAAATGATACAACTGAATTAGGTTAAATTTAATTAATATTTGTAAATATGTAATGGACGTATATAGTGACAAGTTATTTCAAATGTGATCTACTTTATTTTTTATTGTAAATAATTTGTTAAGGAGGTGATTTTTTTGAAAATGTTTATGCACTTAGTAGTTTCTAAGTTATTAAGCTTTAAAAACCAAGGATTAGTTTCCTTAATAATTGGTTCAGAAGATAATATGTTGAGCTATAGTATATTTGTAATTCATATTATAAATTTATCAAACATTTACAATTGCGAAAATTGTCCATTTATATTTAATTGTATAATATAGGTACTTACCTAGAAAAGTACTAGGATAAATATTACATCAGAATATCGGATATCGTGACATCGATGAAACAATAATAACTCGTTTGTAATAATTTATTTACTATTGCTAATATTCTACACTTGGATCACACTCATCTCGAGGTTATCTCAACGATATTATTAAGTTACGGATTAACTACGCTGAATATAATATTATATTGCAAATTTTGTCACATACAACATAACATATTGTTATAAATAATTTCACTGCCATTTACAACAATGGATCCGATCTACCTAATATAAATATTACTATGTACACATCTGAAACCCATAAAGTTGCATAAATATTCGAAATAATAATAATAATTTGATTTAATATTATCGGGTAATATTATATTATGTTATTGACTATTGTAAATCAATACGTAAACAATTTGATTAATAACTCAATTAATAAATAATAATTTGTCGTCAAACCATACATAATATGCTTTTTGAATATAATAACAATTATTTATTATTATGAGTGAGTAGCACTTAACACTAGCTAATACGTCATAATACAATTATAATATTATATTGAATTACTATTCGTAAAAATTCATAACAATTAAATAACATAATATTCACAATGCACCTACCCACTGTACCGTATACTTTACCCATCGCTGTATGGAAGAAAAGCCGTCGTCTTAACTCTTAGTAATAATAATACAGATTTTCCGAGCTGTGCTAATTTCGAAATAAGCTAGTGGTATTGAAGTGTGTAGTGTCATCCGATCATAATATTATTAACTTCCCCTAACATTAATTTATACGGTTATTATAATAGCGTAATACTGTTAAAATGCATACAATAGTAATAAATCACAAAATATATTTTAGTACTTATAAAATATAAATATGATTTTCTAATGTTTATGCGTAACAGCTATGTACTATTATATAGTAACCATTAAACGGGTGTCTACGAAGGCGTTTAATATATAATATGAATGATAATGTAGTCTATGCCTCGAAAGATGAGAATTTCAGCAGAATATAACTAGGTACTGTCAGTGCGGCCTTATGCCAACATTTTGGTACGTTTTTTTTATTATATTTATTAGAAACGTCCTTCTATTAACAATAACGTAACCGTCCCCATCGAATATTTTCACAAAATCGGGTATAATAAAATTGTATACATGGTTATTCTCGAATCAAGGTCACCCACATGTTTTTCTTTAATAAAGAATTTATTCAAATTCTGATTTTGGGAATAAAAAAAAATAAAAACATAAGGGCCATATATTATTAAATATCCAGATATTTATACAATTTAAGGTGTATGATGATACAAACTTCTTGTTTTCTGATGGGAATCATGGTTTTTTCATGTTGATTGTTAATCAGATTACTTTTTTGGAAATATCAAAGTATCTAAATCGAAATTTGAACGAGTAGATGTGAGTTCTAAAATTTTTTGTACTCAGGATAATAATGGGGCTATGGTGATTTACACTTTTAGTAATCTATATGTAATCTATATAAATATATCAACATTTTATAATTTGTGAAAAAATGACTGAGTGTAAATAATAATAAATCAAATTTTTTTTTTTTTGAGTTTCGAGAATAAAACTATTACAGCTCAATGATTAAATCCAATATTATATATTGTATTACATATTATTTTAAAACAATTTACTAGGATATGATATAATATATATTTACCAACCATTGTTGGTAGATACGTTTTAATAAAAAAAACTACTGTTTCAAATTTTGATTAAGACACGTCAACATAAACAAAGAAAATCAATTGCTTCATTATTTTCAGTAAAACATATTCATATTTATTTAAAGAAAAGAAGTTTGCAAGGCGTCACAGGACACTTAAATAATAGGTATAAAAATTGAACAATTAAACCTAAAAATGGTCCTTAAAATATAATATAGGTACTTCAGAATTCTAATAAATTCATAGTGAAAGAAAAAAACTGGGCTTTTTGATGAATCGCCAACAATATTTTAATATTTTTATTGTGCAGTATAGAGCCGCTGTAGTAATAAATAGTTATTGAAAATGTAAACGGTGGTCGATTATTATTGTAATCGTGATCGATACGTTAGGAATGTTATACACTTTAATATTATAATAATGTTCGCGTGTGCGACGATTGACGTCAACGATGTCTAATGCAAAATATTTTGAATTCCAAGCGAATCGAGATGAGCGTTCGAATTTCTTCGTAGATGACTTTCACAGGAGCGCGTGTATTTACGAACGTTGTATTTATTTTATTTTAGAAAAATGTGTACTCGACGTTTGAAATCCGGTCGAAAATCGACTATAATGTAAGCAAAGAGATGTCACATTCCTTCGAGACAAACGGAAACACTGTATACATTAACCTACCATTGTAATTCATAATATGCGTTTTAAATTTACAAATAAAAAACCAAAAATCAGACGAAAACCACCGAAATACGAGTTATCTTTACAAACCGTGGTAATACCACCAAAAGTGATGCTCTCGGACATTACACATCAGATCTTTTTCTACAAGTGATATTGTTGCTGTGACGATGAGGTTCTATCTCTTTCTCAACCCCTGTCAGTAGAAATTAAAAATATGAATATGATAATCCGGCGTTTCAGATAGGCAAAATAGGTACACCACTGCTTTGAATCCATTTTCTCGAGGTCACGCGTTGGTGTCTGGTATGTTACAGTGTATTCTTCGTAAATTTTTTTTTTATTCCCTCACATAACAAAATGATTGCACAGCTTTTTGAACGAGTTACTCAACAGGTGAATACCGTCGATGCATAGTCGTTTTGTTGGATTAGTTGTGTGGTATGCCAAGTTTCATCAAAATCAACTATCGAAAACGTTTTACTGTAAAAAAGTAAAATGTAAACGTCATTAAAGCTGATAACGAAAACAAATTTTGACATAACATTTCAAAACATAACGTTAAATGAAAAATAACAATTTGACTATCGAAACATAACAATATCATTAAAATATTTTTTTTAAACGTATTACTATAACTAAAAAAAAAAAATTATTTATGTTTATTTTATTTGTATACATATATAATATATATTATAGTAATTATATACGATGAACTAACATAATTTTATTTTCAGACATAGATGGTAAAAAATGATGCTAAATATAATTTCTGTACATGTTTAAAATTATATTTTTCTAAATTCTTAATTTAAAAAAACCGCGCTGTGAGAAAAACGCATTGACCAATAAAAATGATGATTATTAATTAGAAATAAAATAAAAATAAGAAATAAGAAATAAAATCAAAGGGAGGCTGTGACTGTTTGTAATTAGAAATTAGAATTGATGAAATGATAAATGAAACGGTGCTTATAAAAAAGAAAGTAACAATATAATAAAGTTAAAATAATAATAACATTAAAGATTAAATG